AGGGTTTAGGGTTCAGGGGTTTGGGCATTTTTGGTTTTAGATTTAGGGTGCCGGGGTTTAGGGTGTAGTGATGTCTTGGCTGCTCTATGGCCCTGCTCTCGGGTCTATTTGAGCCGGTTTATGGGGGAAGTTCCCTAAACCCTAAACCCTAAACCCTAAGCCCTCAACCCTAAACCGAGGCTGGTGGCCTCAGGCATAGGGCAGTGGGGTTGCAGTCCGAATCAGCTTCGGGGAGTGGTGGGGGTCTTCATGTAGGGACTTAAATAATTACCTATGCTAGTTTGGGGTGCCTTATCTTCAGTATACTAGAACCTAGGACGTTTTTAGGTGGGTAGTTACCGTTATAGGAGCCTTATAGAAGGTCTATATACCTTATAGAAGCCCTAAAGAAGCCCTATATACCCCGAACTCCCCACCTGTAGTTTCCTTTTCCTTTAATATAATGGGCCCCGAAACCCGATTCTAATTATTCAGGCCCCTACATTACATGCAGTTCAGCAGCTTGGCCCAAGGCTGGCAGTCCCAACCCCCAAATCCGCAAACCCCAGGCCCGAAACCGTGAAGCCTACCCTAAACCCTAAACCAGGAACTGCGGCACCTTTGACCAGGCACTGGCTATCTACTAGATGTTGGATTTGGGCTTTGGGGGTTGGGTCTGGGATTTGTGCTCTGGGGTTTAGGAGTGCAGGGGACTCAGCACATCACAGATTCCATTGGCATTGGGGATTTACATAGTCAGTGGCACTGTGCTCCATGAAGATGATGGCGGTGATCGTCTTCTTTCGGAAGTGTCGTTGCCGTCGTCCTCCGCAATGTCAGCAAACATCGTGTAGCATGATGATATTCGTTGTCATGGTCACACGTACCGACACAACCCTTTCCGCTTTTGTTTCGTTCGCAACGTCGCAAACACTGTCTTCACCATCCACACTATCACGTGCATCAGCATACAGCACCAACATAAGCATTTCAGCCTGACGGTGTGACTGTTCCATCGTCTTCACCAGCAGCACCGTGTCTATTGTCTTGCTTTACGCCACCACGAGTAACATCACCGTCCTCGTATTCATCAGCGCCATCGATCAGTTTTGTCACCGCCACCCTCATCATCGGTAAGCAGCAGCATCATCACTGCATTCGTCATCATCATGGTCATCATCACTGCCAGGACCATTATCAGTACCATCACCGTCATGCTCATCACCAAAAGCTTTAATCGCCTACATTGACCATCGTAGTCATCATCATGATCATCATCATCATCACCATCACCATCACCATCGTCATCGTCATCGCCATCGCCATTGTCATCCTCATCATCATCATCATCATCATCACGACCATCATCATCACCACCATCATCATCGTCATCACCACCATCACCATCACCA